CAGGAACTTTGCATACTTAGGCATTTGAGATAGTGCCTCCAAGAAGGGCACTTGAACGGCTAAATTGCAAGTTTGATCACTTGAATTACTAGTAAATTTTACGTTAGCTACTAGAATTGCTTTATTTCATCCTTAGTCACTTAAATTAATTCAACAGTTCAAGTTTGGTCACTCTCTGTTAGTCTCCGTTAACTTTACCTGATGTGGCAGACAACTCTGAGAGTTGACCGTTAAATAAGTGACGTGGCAATTATAAAATAATAAAACTTAAAATTTTTACAATTGCCACCTCATTATCACATTAAATTAAAAATACATAAAACAAAAAAATTGTAATTAAATTCAACAAACCTGATCGGAAGCAGCTCCTCCGCCGGTGGCGGTGATCGGGACGCCGTTGAGGAAGGTTTCCATCCCCCGCTTCGTCGTTTTTGTCGCCGTCTCGCCCATGGAGGCCACCGAAGTCATGATCGAAAGAAAGTTGATGAACACTTCTACTATGCTATATAGTATTGGTGCTTTAATATACAACTTAAAGTTGTACCATAACATTAAATGTATAAGTTTAGGTTGTACCATAAAGCAATTTGTACCATTATGTTATGATACAACTTTACAACTTGAAGTTGTACCATCACATAAAGGTACAAGTTCAAGTTGTATCATAAAAGAATTTGTACAAAAAGTATAGGTACAATCTAAAGTTGTACCATAACGTAAATGTACAATTTTAAGTTGTACCATAAAGGCAAAATCCTATAGCACCAATACTATATAGCATTGTAAAATTTCTCAAAGTTGATTCCTTTTTCTTTCTTTAGATTTAGTAATGGCGGAAGGGGGAGAAAGTAGAGGAAGAAGAAACAGAGAAGTGTGGGCAAATGAGTATGCGAAATGGGGAAGAAGGGGGTGTGGGATTTTATGGAGAGAGCTGTCGCAACCGCACCTCGAAATCGAGAGATCTGTCGCGATTTGCTCGGAGTCGCCATCGACCCTAGTTTGTAGTGGGTCGAACACTAATTTGGCCGGATTTGACCTTAGGGTCAAAACCGGAATTCTGGTCTGCGAAAATTTAGTTTATGGGTTCGGGAGTACGGTTACGTGTGGGGAAGTGTATTCACAGCCCACAACGCCCCAAATGGGTACTACTTAAATCGATAAGGGTTGGGTGTATTATTATTTGCGGCTTTATTGATGTATTTAATTGTGGTTTTCAATCGTTTTAAAATTAAATGTAAATTTTAGAGTCTCATAGGACGATGTGATTAGTGTAAATTTGAATTTAAAGTTACCGATTTTCACGTCTATTGATGTAAAAAAGGTTTTTTTTTTATTGGACTCGAACCTATCGGTTGCCTACGTACCCGGGTTAACCGGGATCAAAGTCCACGTAGTTCGATTTTAAAATGAACGATTCTGAAAGTGAAAACCTAGCACATTCTATTGATCGTGCCTGAGGTTTTCATGAGGAAATGTGTTTTGATTTTGTAATTGGGTGATCGATGAATTTGAAGGAATTCCAACTTATGAAATCATTGGGGTCTATTGACTATGATTTCGTATTAAGAGATTTTATTTTGTGTAAGAATTGTTAAGGGTTTTTTTTCTATAAAAACGTGTGTTATGAATGAGGATGCTCTAAAATTTGGAAAATGATAAAACGTTTTAATGTTTAGAATGCTTTAAATAACTGTAGTTAATAAGCCAAACAAAAAATGTAGTTAATTGTAGTTGATATAGGTTTGAATATTAAGCTAAATTGCGGACGAAATAAGAAGCAGAAAAAAATTAGCTGTAATAGGCAGAGGGTAGTTTTAAAGGGAACTGAGGAGTATTTTAGTCAAATTTCAGATTAGCTATGTTAGAACTAACCAGAAAACCCTTACCCATTCTTGTTTAACCCGAGCCGCCCTGAAATTTCATTTACTACTCTTTCCTCTCGTTCCTTGAGGAACCAAACAGAACCAGAGAGAAAAATCGAAGTGAATCCTATCCTACCTTCTTCCTCTCGCCATTCTCAATCCGATCTCTCGCGCTTTCCTTTCAACAGACCAGCGAGCATAGACAGGAAAGAAAGGGAAGCTGGTTCCTCCTCTAACTCGATTCACAACCTCTCTCTCCCCCTTTCTGGAATAAACAAGGAGAAAGAGAACGACGATGGCGTCGGCGTCAGTGGGAACTGACGGCGCTGGTTGCCGATGACGATGATGACTGTGGCGACAAAGGTAAGGGTTTTTCTTGGTTTGCATGTTGTTTTTCGGGTTTGTTCAGTTTTTTTTACTGAGATTTTGACCTAGATTTAGCTTGTTTTCTGGGTTTCGATTCCTGAGGATACAAATGCCGAGAAAAGGGAATGAAGGACGACCGATGACATCGCCACCGAAAACGGTTTGGTGATCGATGACGATAGCCACGGCGACCCTACTAACAGTCTCCCAAATCGGAGAACAAGCGACGATTTAGGTAAACCCGACACAAATGTTTATTCTTCTGCTTGTTTAGTATTTTGATTTTTGTTTTCTTTCGTTTGCAGGTTTTAGATTAAGAAGCCTAGGTGATATTTCTCCCAAACTTCTTTTCTTGATTAAGTTTACAGGTTTATTTGGATTAGGATGTCTTGATCTTCAATGGTTAGTTGTCAGTTGTCACTGCTGATTTATGCTTCTGAGTTTTTGTCGAAAAGATCAGGGCTGGGTATAGATGTAAAGGGAGAGCTCTTGGAATAAAACAAAAGAAAGAACAGGAGCATGGTTTCTGATTTTCTAGGTTAAGCCTTTTTGTTTGTTTATTACAATCTCTGAAATCTGTGTTTTGGTTGCCATGGGTTTAGATATGAATCTGGTAGCTAAAGTGACTAAGAAGAACCAGAATAAGCTAAAGCCACAGTTGCAAACAAATAGTAGATCTGAACACAACAACAGAGAGCATCCACAAGCATCATCATCTTTATTTGAAAAACTCAGTTTTGATCATTTGATTAGGTGGGTTTCGAAAGGTTTATGTTGGGGTTAATATGGGGTTTTGTGAATCTGATATAGTTTTGAAACTGGGACTTGTACGTGTGATGTGGGTTTGAGTTCTTAAATCTTGTGGTGTTCATGGTGATTTTGATTGTGGGTTGGGGAAACTGGGTTCATTTGTGGTTATGAATACTGGAATTGGATTGTGGATTTCGAAATTGGAAGTTTGGTGGTAATTCTGGTGGGTTTGATTGTGTGAGGATAACCGGGTTTTGAGATTGAAATTATGTGTTTTGTATGATGGATTATGGTAAATAAATATACAAAGCGATTAAAGCAATAAAGGAAACAAATATTCCATTAGATTGGGCTTTCACTTGTAAAACATGGAAATATAAACTAACAAGATAAAATAAATATAGACAGCAAGTAGGGGAGCCTTAAAAGGAAAACAATAAATATAATTTTGTCTATTGCTTTGCTATTATGTTAACTTTGCCATCTTGTAAGTTGTTTGGAGTTAGATTTGTGATGGAAGAACGATGGTGATATTTTTTTCACCTTTTCTTGGATGATTGATGAAGGGGATAAGCTGTTGTTTCCTCTCCCTTTTCCTCTTCTCTGGTCTGTTGTGGTGTTGACTAGAGAAGTGAAAGTGATAACTTTTTAGAGTTTCTCCTGTCTGTTTCTTGTTTCTCTTCTCCTTATGTGTGGTAGTGTGGTTTCTTTTCCTACCTAGACTCTTTGTGTATGTTTAGCGAGGGAAGAGAAAGAAGAGGAGGTGAAAAGAAGTAGAGTTCTATGGGGAAATGGAAGAGGAGAAGAAGAGCTGACCCTTCCTCTGTTTTTTTGCAGAGTTTCGTTTGGATGAAGTAGAAGTGGCCAGGTTGAAGAAGAAGAACAAGGAAGGAAAATGGATCGGCCCCTCTATTTCTCTTCCTCCTGTTCGTGAGGAAGAAGAAAGAAGAAAGGTAGTATTTTTTGTTCAGGGAGAGGAAGAATCAAGAAAGAATAAGAAGTGGCTACTCTGTTTTTGGCAGCTTTTTGCCGTCTGTGAATAAGGAAAGAGGAAGACTGAAGTCGATCGCCCCCCTTTTGCTTAGCCTCCAAGACCTCTCTTTTATAATAGGATAGTTCACTGTAGCGCCACAGTAGGGTAGGCTTGTGTATTTTTCTGATTGGCTAGTAGGGTAGGTTAGTTGTATTTTTGTGATTGGTTGAGGATTGGGCTGGGTCTGTGCCTGGTTGAACCAGTCCGGTTCGACCTGGATTGGATCTGGCCCGAGTATGACTGGGCTTGGATTTTTGGGTTTGGTTGAGTGTGATATGGGTTTGATCCAATTTAGGCCTGTTGACTTGCATTATTGTTGGGCTTGGACTTTGGTCTTTTATTTGGACAATTACTATCGTAATTAAAGGTAAGAGAGTGTATGAGTTCGTAATTACAATGTACTTATTTTTAATGACAATCTTAATAAAATTTCTTTTCCTTTATTGTCCTTTATTAATCATTCCAAAATCAAGGTTCAAATTCTCAAAGACAAACGTTGAGGGATAAAAACTTTATTAAATAGACAAAAATTAGCTATTGCTAAACTTGTTTAACCTTGCGCTAAGTCAACTTTATTTAATCAAAGACAAAATAATGGCACATGCCACCAAGATACAAGTTCAAAACAAAGGATGTTTAAGATTTAGTTCAAAACAAAGGATGTTAAAGATTTGCTATTGCTAATCCAAAACAAAGCGAGTTTTATACTCCTTTAAATTGGTGCCATAATTAGTAAATTGCCCGGACAAAATGTGGTGTCTACAGTTGCCCCCTTTTGTATGTCTCTCGATTTAGAGAGGTATACAAAGTTTCTTTAAGAATCACATTTTGACAGTGTTAGTAGTGAATCTATTGTTTGGTAAGATGATTCATTCAAATTGTTTGGGAGGAAAACTAGCTAAACAAGTTGAAAGATAGTATAAGGAATCATTCAAGTTGTCGAGGGTATAATAAATTGAAATAAAAATGCAATCGTAATGTTCGGGGTATTTCGGGTTGAACATTTATTAATGGCAGTATGATAGGGTTTTCCTGGATATAACATGCTAGACATTTGTTAGACAATGCGATCAAATTGTTCAGGGTATGACATGACAAACAATTATTGATGGCGATGCTATAGGGTTGTCCATGATATGATATGCTAGACATTTTAATAGACAATACAATCAAATTGTTCGGGGTATGACATGCTAAACATTTATTGATGGCATAACTATGGGATTGTCTTGGATATGACACGCTAGACATTTGAATAGACAATGCAATCAAATTGTTTGGGGTATGACATGCTAAACATTTATTGATGGCATAGCTTATGGGGTTGTCCGGGATATGACATGCTAGACATTTTTTTATAATAATGCACTCAAGTTGTTCGGGGTATGACATGCTGAACATTTATTGATGGCAAAGCTCTGGGATCGTCCGGGATATGACAGGCTAGACAATCAATGCATGGTGACGTTGGTAATGAGTGGGAAATCGTAGGATGAGTATGATTATGACATGTCATGATGTAATGTCATGAGATATGATGTTGAGAGGGTATGCCTGATTGATATATATGATGGTTGTACATTCCTTGAAACTAGTTATTTTAATGAATGATATGATATGAAGTGCATTCAAATAAAATGTTGCCCGTTTGATGATGTCTTGAAGGGTATGCAGATGAAAGATTATGATGGCTCCTCGTCTTTTATGTATTGTATGTCGAGGATTCTCTTAAATCAATCATCCACAAGGAAACTCATTTCCCTTTAGTAAACATGAACTTTAGTTGTACACGCATTGGAGTAGCCTGGTTGTTGTGGGTACATTCTTCCTTTGACGTACGTCAGCATCTCGAGGTACTGGGCTTGCCATCTAGTTTATCCTCTTTATCCGCTCATTGAGCCCAAAGTATGACATTTCTGTGAACTTGATGAAAGGTTGGTCATCTGCTTTCTCCACCTTGGAAACTGGTGTTTGAGTGGCTTATGTGTTTGCCAAATGATCTTCTTATTGGTAGGTTGATTTTGTAAGAGGCATTTGTAGCATGGTGGCCTATGATAACGTGCTCTTTTAGTTTGATTGATATTCTTGCTATGCAAGCATGTCATGCTTGGCTAAGAGGAATTTTTCATCTCGGGGTATTGTCTTGTTGATGTCGGTCTCTAGACATGCTTGATTGATTTCACCAAGAGGTATGCGGTAAAAAAAAATAGTTGAAGGATAGTTTGATTGACAGGTTGGGTAGCTTGAATGGAATGATTCAGAATATCTGAGATTCCCCAATTACTCATGAGTTAATGGACTTGGAGAACCCCTTCATGGGTATTTGAACTGCTTCTACTCAGGGTCTTCTCACCTTGCCCCATAGATATGTTAATTGTTTTCCTCTTTTCGGAACAAAATGTGACTTTTACCAATCTTGACTTAGGATGAATGCAACAAAGTTTGGAAATTCTCATTTGAGGAAGTATGATGAGAACCTGATTTTAGAAATCAAAGCCTCGCTTGAGGGAAGTGTGTGCAACATGAGAAAAAGATTTCTTGTGTGGTTATTGCCACATTGTTTAAAAACTTTTTTTCCATAAGCCAAGCCATGAGAATATTCATAAGCCCTCTCATTCTCACTCTCAGTTTCAGTCTCACTCAATCCTATGGGTGCTTCGAGTTTACGATACTTCAGCTACTATCAAGATTCTTGTCACCATGTTGAGGGGAAAAGTATGCCTGAGGTATAGGTTTGTTGATCATGGAGAGTTCGAGTGATCTTTGTATGTTCTCGTGGTAAAAGTTCTTGAACTTTCCTGAAAGAAGCTCGGTTTGGTACGACTCCAACTGTAAGAGTTCTCATGGTATGGAAATTATGCTTGTCGCAAATGAGAGGTTGGTAAAGGAAGATCCTATGATATGGCCTTAGTCATAGGCAGCTTCATTTTGAGGATTTTTGGCTTGCCCCCAAGGTATGAATCTGGTTGATATATAATGGGGATCGTCTTTTCTTGTCGTGAGAAGTTCCTTGTGGAGGGATGTTTGGCTTTCCTCAAAGTATGAGACTGATTGATGGATAGGCGAGATAATTTCTTGGCGAAAAGTCCATTGATGAGGAATTTTTGGCTTGTCCCCAAAGTATGAGGCTGATTGATGGGTAAATGAAATCTTTGTTGTGGAGCTCTCATTTTTTCCGAGAATGCTGGCTCGTCTTGGGTATCTTTGCGGGTATATTTTGGCTTAGGTTGCCCCCTTGTCTTGAAATCTTGATTTTGAGGGATAAGCTCGACTAGGTAATTTGAGTAGAAATTTGATCCTGGAAATCTTGTCACTTGTCGGGTCCTTTTTTTTACCTTGAAAGGCTGGATGATGAAGGTCTTGGTATGATACACACTTTGACTTCTCATTGGTTATCAAAATAATGAATGTGGAAAACCCTTCTGTGGTGCAGGCATGGCTGCTGAAGTATTATTATAATGGTGGTTTTTGTTTATCTTGAAAGGGAGAGTTCAAGTGATGGAAAATGAGGATGATCATGGAGTGGATTTCATATCAGGCAGACATTCTTCTCTTGGGTGCCCCATCTTATTTGAGTTTACTTGTGTCATTTCTTCAGGTTTGGCAAACGAATACTCTTCATTTGGATAGGTGATTAATTTGATGACTAGCCCTCGCAGGAGTGTGTAGACAAGTTGGCTGAGAGAATGAATCTACATCGCTTTTGTGACCACGTTGACGCTAGACTCAAAATCATCCTTTTGGCATTTTAGAAAGGTAGTCAATAACTTTCACTCGTGACTAGTTTTATGACTTCAAGTGCTATTGCAGGGGTATCTAACGTGTAAGTCCCACGAGCTTTTTCTGTCTTCCTTTTTTATTTTTATTTTTCGTTGCCTTTTTTGTTTTTTGCTTTTGCTCTTTTTTGTGTGGGACTTACTTGACTTTGTAATTTCCCCTACATGGTGTCATTTTGAAGCTTTTGATTTTGAGCACCAACGAGTTCATCAAATAGGATCATTCAGCTTCCCCAACCTTCTAATCATGAGGATTCTGTGAGAAACTTGAGAATTTTGATACAGTAATTAGGCTAACTCAACCCCCTTTCTAGTCGAGCCCCTATTTGATAGAGATGTTCGAAATGGTAGTGACAAGCCTCTACAAATAGCATGATGTCGTATCCTCGTTACACCCTTTGACTATTTAGCTTACGTTACTTATGGACACCAGTGGGGTGTTTATACTCTCAAGTTTAGTAGGGGTGCTCAAACTCTCGACACCGGTAGGGTGTGCACACTCTGCTGCAAAAATTATTGATATCGACTAAGTATTTATAAATCACTCGACACCAGTGGGGTGCTTATATTGGCTTAATATGAAAATCTCATGGCTTAACTTGAGACCAAGTTGATCTTAAAGTTTTTTTTTTGGAAAGATGTCCATCATTTTGTAAAGAGAAGGAATCATTGATGCAAACTTCTAAATCAAAATTGGTAGTAGTCACACAATGTCCCAAATCGGTGGAAATGCAAATGACATTCTATTCTTTAGTATGAAGGAGATTGTTTGATACATAAGGTAATACGCATTCATGCTCATTTGCTCGTGAGGATTGACACCATTATTGAATAGAGCTTCGTCTTGCAGTGTGCCAACTAATCCCCATAAGTGGTCAATGGGTCATTGTCGATGTATGGACGATTTGGCACCTTGGTTCTTCAAATTTTGACCAAATCATCAATAATATGATTAGTGCTTTTAATTTTTTTCCAAGATTTGAGGAACTCCGTTTAATATCGTCTGATCCTTTTGGAATGACTCCGTACAAGCATAACCTTGGATCTGGTACTTAAGGGTTTGACTATGTCCTCGTGGATGAACAACTTTAGAAAACCCTTGATTTGATTTGTTATGGTTAAATTTTTACATGTTTCTAAATGAGATGGATGTATGATAGTCATTCTAAATGAGATGAATGTAAGATAGTCGTGTTAAATGGTACGATTGTGCGTATGAAAGATGATTTTTTTTTTGAGTGGATGCATGTACACTTTGTAAAAATGTAACAAGATTACTCTTAATACATAAACGAGGAAATGATTGTATCATGCGTTTATGCATAAAAACATATCGAGTCTCTCACAAATAATTAACACAACACACATGACCCACGACATAAGCAAAACACGAATTGATCATAAAAAAAAATCTTTCACGATCTTCGCCATGTCGAGGTAAACCTAGAGCTTTTGGCAACATTACGTTGTATTAGGACAGGCTTTGGGATAAGTTTTGGACAAGGTAGTTTCTAGGTAAACTATATGCTGGATAAGGATCTTAAGGAATCAGGCTCCCAAGTTGTACCACACTATAACCCTTTCGAGTTTAGCATGATACCTCAAATCATCCTCGGATTTGAGTTCAACCTGGTTGGGAAGTTTTCGCATTTCCCCTACTATTGTAGGAGTCACGGTACTTTCTTCCTTTTTTTCTATAAGGACAGCTCGGGTATAGAGCTTTTATGAATGAATGCAAATAATTAAATGCGATATATATTAAATGCGCAAATAGAGAAAGTAAACACCCAACAAATCAAAGATAGTAAGAAAACTTATCGATATAAATAATATAGATCGACTCTCAAATTGGTCCCCAGCGGAGTCGCCACTGTCGCAACCGCACCTCGAAATCGAGAGATCTGTCGCGATTTGCTCGGAGTCGCCATCGACCCTAGTTTGTAGTGGGTCGAACACTAATTTGGCCGGATTTGACCTTAGGGTCAAAACCGGAATTCTGGTCTGCGAAAATTTAGTTTATGGGTTCGGGAGTACGGTTACGTGTGGGGAAGTGTATTCACAGCCCACAACGCCCCAAATGGGTACTACTTAAATCGATAAGGGTTGGGTGTATTATTATTTGCGGCTTTATTGATGTATTTAATTGTGGTTTTCAATCGTTTTAAAATTAAATGTAAATTTTAGAGTCTCATAGGACGATGTGATTAGTGTAAATTTGAATTTAAAGTTACCGATTTTCACGTCTATTGATGTAAAAAAGGTTTTTTTTTATTGGACTCGAACCTATCGGTTGCCTACGTACCCGGGTTAACCGGGATCAAAGTCCACGTAGTTCGATTTTAAAATGAACGATTCTGAAAGTGAAAACCTAGCACATTCTATTGATCGTGCCTGAGGTTTTCATGAGGAAATGTGTTTTGATTTTGTAATTGGGTGATCGATGAATTTGAAGGAATTCCAACTTATGAAATCATTGGGGTCTATTGACTATGATTTCGTATTAAGAGATTTTATTTTGTGTAAGAATTGTTAAGGGTTTTTTTTCTATAAAAACGTGTGTTATGAATGAGGATGCTCTAAAATTTGGAAAATGATAAAACGTTTTAATGTTTAGAATGCTTTAAATAACTGTAGTTAATAAGCCAAACAAAAAATGTAGTTAATTGTAGTTGATATAGGTTTGAATATTAAGCTAAATTGCGGACGAAATAAGAAGCAGAAAAAAATTAGCTGTAATAGGCAGAGGGTAGTTTTAAAGGGAACTGAGGAGTATTTTAGTCAAATTTCAGATTAGCTATGTTAGAACTAACCAGAAAACCCTTACCCATTCTTGTTTAACCCGAGCCGCCCTGAAATTTCATTTACTACTCTTTCCTCTCGTTCCTTGAGGAACCAAACAGAACCAGAGAGAAAAATCGAAGTGAATCCTATCCTACCTTCTTCCTCTCGCCATTCTCAATCCGATCTCTCGCGCTTTCCTTTCAACAGACCAGCGAGCATAGACAGGAAAGAAAGGGAAGCTGGTTCCTCCTCTAACTCGATTCACAACCTCTCTCTCCCCCTTTCTGGAATAAACAAGGAGAAAGAGAACGACGATGGCGTCGGCGTCGGTGGGAACTGACGGCGCTGGTTGCCGATGACGATGATGACTGTGGCGACAAAGGTAAGGGTTTTTCTTGGTTTGCATGTTGTTTTTCGGGTTTGTTCAGTTTTTTTTACTGAGATTTTGACCTAGATTTAGCTTGTTTTCTGGGTTTCGATTCCTGAGGATACAAATGCCGAGAAAAGGGAATGAAGGACGACCGATGACATCGCCACCGAAAACGGTTTGGTGATCGATGACGATAGCCACGGCGACCCTACTAACAGTCTCCCAAATCGGAGAACAAGCGACGATTTAGGTAAACCCGACACAAATGTTTATTCTTCTGCTTGTTTAGTATTTTGATTTTTGTTTTCTTTCGTTTGCAGGTTTTAGATTAAGAAGCCTAGGTGATATTTCTCCCAAACTTCTTTTCTTGATTAAGTTTACAGGTTTATTTGGATTAGGATGTCTTGATCTTCAATGGTTAGTTGTCAGTTGTCACTGCTGATTTATGCTTCTGAGTTTTTGTCGAAAAGATCAGGGCTGGGTATAGATGTAAAGGGAGAGCTCTTGGAATAAAACAAAAGAAAGAACAGGAGCATGGTTTCTGATTTTCTAGGTTAAGCCTTTTTGTTTGTTTATTACAATCTCTGAAATCTGTGTTTTGGTTGCCATGGGTTTAGATATGAATCTGGTAGCTAAAGTGACTAAGAAGAACCAGAATAAGCTAAAGCCACAGTTGCAAACAAATAGTAGATCTGAACACAACAACAGAGAGCATCCACAAGCATCATCATCTTTATTTGAAAAACTCAGTTTTGATCATTTGATTAGGTGGGTTTCGAAAGGTTTATGTTGGGGTTAATATGGGGTTTTGTGAATCTGATATAGTTTTGAAACTGGGACTTGTACGTGTGATGTGGGTTTGAGTTCTTAAATCTTGTGGTGTTCATGGTGATTTTGATTGTGGGTTGGGGAAACTGGGTTCATTTGTGGTTATGAATACTGGAATTGGATTGTGGATTTCGAAATTGGAAGTTTGGTGGTAATTCTGTGTGGGTTTGATTGTGTGAGGATAACCGGGTTTTGAGATTGAAATTATGTGTTTTGTATGATGGATTATGGTAAATAAATATACAAAGCGATTAAAGCAATAAAGGAAACAAATATTCCATTAGATTGGGCTTTCACTTGTAAAATATGGAAATATAAACTAACAAGATAAAATAAATATAGACAGCAAGTAGGGGAGCCTTAAAAGGAAAACAATAAATATAATTTTGTCTATTGCTTTGCTATTATGTTAACTTTGCCATCTTGTAAGTTGTTTGGAGTTAGATTTGTGATGGAAGAACGATGGTGATATTTTTTTCACCTTTTCTTGGATGATTGATGAAGGGGATAAGCTGTTGTTTCCTCTCCCTTTTCCTCTTCTCTGGTCTGTTGTGGTGTTGACTAGAGAAGTGAAAGTGATAACTTTTTAGAGCTTCTCCTGTCTGTTTCTTGTTTCTCTTCTCCTTATGTGTGGTAGTGTGGTTTCTTTTCCTACCTAGACTCTTTGTGTATGTTTAGCGAGGGAAGAGAAAGAAGAGGAGGTGAAAAGAAGTAGAGTTCTATGGGGAAATGGAAGAGGAGAAGAAGAGCTGACCCTTCCTCTGTTTTTTTGCAGAGTTTCGTTTGGATGAAGTAGAAGTGGCCAGGTTGAAGAAGAAGAACAAGGAAGGAAAATGGATCGGCCCCTCTATTTCTCTTCCTCCTGTTCGTGAGGAAGAAGAAAGAAGAAAGGTAGTATTTTTTGTTCAGGGAGAGGAAGAATCAAGAAAGAATAAGAAGTGGCTACTCTGTTTTTGGCAGCTTTTTGCCGTCTGTGAATAAGGAAAGAGGAAGACTGAAGTCGATCGCCCCCCTTTTGCTTAGCCTCCAAGACCTCTCTTTTATAATAGGATAGTTCACTGTAGCGCCACAGTAGGGTAGGCTTGTGTATTTTTCTGATTGGCTAGTAGGGTAGGTTAGTTGTATTTTTGTGATTGGTTGAGGATTGGGCTGGGTCTGTGCCTGGTTGAACCAGTCCGGTTCGACCTGGATTGGATCTGGCCCGAGTATGACTGGGCTTGGATTTTTGGGTTTGGTTGAGTGTGATATGGGTTTGATCCAATTTAGGCCTGTTGACTTGCATTATTGTTGGGCTTGGACTTTGGTCTTTTATTTGGACAATTACTATCGTAATTAAAGGTAAGAGAGTGTATGAGTTCGTAATTACAATGTACTTATTTTTAATGACAATCTTAATAAAATTTCTTTTCCTTTATTGTCCTTTATTAATCATT